TGTGCTTTCTTCCTTGCTTCCATTTCAGTTTTCAATTCTTGAACTGTTTCCATTACCTGTTTGTTCATTTTTTCTTGGTTTCCCAGGGTCTCATGTACGTATTTACTCAATTCTTCAAACTTTTTGTTATACTTCTCATCCATTTCTATAAAGGTGTTTTTTACATATTGTTTAAGGGACTCTATTGCTTTCATAAAGTCGATTTTTTCCACTTCTTCTGTGTTAGGGTGTTCAAGTCCTTCTGTTGTAAGATCATTGGGTTCTGGTGCTTTCATGTTGCTTTTCAGCTTATTGGGAGAATTTTTGCCTTGGCGCCTGGCCATCTCCTCCTATTGATGATCTCTAATTGGTCTTTTAAAACCAGATCAGGTTTCCCTGCTGGCCAGAGGCTCCTCTTGCAAAATTCCCTCGTTCTGTTTCCTGGCTCCTGCCAGGGGCCAAGATCCCTCTCACCCCTCAGAAGGGTCTTCAGGAAAAGAACCAGGTTCCCTGTTTGCCAGGGACCTCGCCAACCAAAGGCCTACCTCTTTGATTTAATTGTCCTGGGGCGATCTGCTCTTGGTGTTGCACTGGTCCCTGTCGCCTGCGTTGTCTGCCACTGTGTCAGCACTCGCAGGTCCCGGCCGCTGCGCCAGCTACGTCGCCCGCCGTGCGCGTCCGGTTCCGGCCGCCGCTGCCGTGCGCGTCTGGTTCCCCATGTCCCACGCTTTAAAAGGATTTGTTTGTTGTGGTTTTTGTCCCGCCCGGTACCTCACAACTGTTTAGCCCCAAAGAAAATCACACATAGGTCTCCATAAATTATAAGCTGATTGGCCCATTAGCTCTAGCCTCTCACTGGCTAACTCTCACATCTTGATTAACCCATTTTTCTGATATATGTTAGCCATGTGGCTCAGTACCTTTTTCAATGGGGCAGATCACCTCCTACTGCTTTGGTGATCTAGGTAGGAGTGGGAGAAATCAACTTCCTCCTTCCCAGAATTCTCCTGTTCTCATTACATCATTTCTACTTTCTGTCTGGTTTTCCCACCTGTATTTCCTGCCTGGCCAATCAGCGTTTACTTAAAACATGATTGACAGAATACAGACAATTCTCCCGCACCAGTGGACAAATCTCAGCTTGCTGTTAACCAAGCAAGGCATTGGGAACCTTGAATTGTGGGGGGTAAATCTGTGGATTCTGGCACCCAGAACTGAAAAGATGGTTACTTTTCTTTATTGAACAGTTGTTCCTCTTCCTTAAAACCATTCCAGACTGCATTACTAAATAAATGCTAAGCCATGTCATTGCTGATTCAGAGTTTCTCTTTGTAGACTGGGCAGAGGATGTGAAAAAAACAGACCAGCCACCAATAAGTAGTCTGCTTGTATTTGTTTCCTAACTGTTGATGTCAGTGAAGCTAGACAGTTGCACAGGTACCTGTCACACTGTGACTTTGTCTTTGAGGTCACAAAATTAAACCAATTTTGCCTTGTTTTGTTTGGTGTGTGTGTGTGTGTGTGTGTTGATGTCAAGGGTTACATGCACAGGTGTGTGTGTGTGTGTGTGTGTGTGTGTGTATGGTGATGTCAAGGGTTACATGCACAGGTGTGTGTGTGTGTAGTGATGTTATGGGTTACATGCACAAGTACTTTATCAACTGAGCCATCTCCTTATATGCAGTCTTGCCATTTTTATTTCTTGAATTTTCTATGAATAGAATCTAGTAATATTTTTGTAATTTACCTAAATTACTTTCACTTTTCTGGCCTTGATTCAGAATGTTCAGGGCAAGTCATTCATCATTCTTTAAGATTCTTCATCTAGCGACCATTTTTACCTAGTTTTTTTCTCTACATTATTTTCATCTAAGGCTGACCAGGTTTAAGGGGGAAGGGCCCGTCAGAAGCAAGATCCCGTGTCTTGGCACCTCTTCAAAGGACACGCAACAGTGAGGCATGTATTTAGTGACAAGCCACCATGAGGGCAGATGGCTCTTCACAGTGTCCTGGTACAGAGTCTGTCACAGTACGTGAACACCGTCCCTTCTTTACTCCAGCGTCTCTCTCGAAGTCATCATAGAAGGGTGGGCTTTTGCTTGTGAGGTTACTCCTCTCGTCCAGACACAATGTGCATGTTTAAAAGCAACCAGTTTCTACGAGCTTTCTGCTTTGAACTCCTTGAGTACTGCATCCTCCCAAGGCAATTCTGAATCCTCAGATACTTCCTCCTTGTCTGGGAGGATGAGGAAGAGGTATTATCCAGGAGTAAAATGCTAAATACCGTTAAAAGATTCATATACACGTTTGCAACACATTTCTTAACAACCATTATGGAAAACTCTTTCTTTCACAGAGTGATTAAGGTTTATTGACAGTTTTATTGTAACTGTGTTACACTACCTGCTTTATTTGTTTGTTTGTTGGGTGTGGGGGGCATGCATGAGCCATGGTATACATATAGAGACCAGAGGAAAACTTTTGGGAGTGGCTCTCTCCTTCCACCATGTAGGTCCCAGGGATCAAACTCATGTTGTCAGGATTGAGTGCAAGCACTTCACCCACTCAGCCGTGCTACCAGCCCTGCTATGCCTTTTATTGCATACTGCTTACAATGTGTAGTATATGAAGTCAAAGGAGACTTAAATATTTTACTTAAAACAATTTTTATTTTTAATAAAAAATACAGATACATTGTTATAAATGGAGAGAACTCCTAGGCTGTTCCAAAGAGCAATACATTTTCAAACTCAAAAACACATTTATGTTTTCATCTAAATAAACTTTACCACTGTGACCTGGTTTCCTCTGCATTTTAATAACACAGTCAAATATCCATTTTTGAGGCTATCTTTCTAACCTTTTGTTAGAGACAAGGTCTCATGTAGCCAGGCTCATTATGTATCTGAGGATGACTTTGAACTTTTGATCTTACCGCTTCCATTCCCAAGTGTAGAGTTATAGGCATGTGCTACCAGGCCAGGCTCCAAATCCCATTTGATAAGTTTAAGAGCTAAAGCTAAAGTGTTCTGAGAAACCCGAGTCCACCTCTGCACATTGAGTAAGGACTGTTCTGAGTGTTAGTCTAGCAGTCCTGAAAAAGCAGAGGCACAGACCAGCGTCAGCACTCTGGATCAGAACTGAGGGGCAGGCTGCTCCACATGCTGGGCTTCTTTACATGCTGGGCTCATCGCACTTGGTACAGACGAGCTGAAAGTCTTGGAAACGTGGGCTGCTTAAGCTTCTCAACTTGTTTGTCCTAATACATACATTCCTGGGAACCACAATGCTAGCAAAAGGGACAGGTACTAGAGACAGTGACATTTGGGTGTTTGCTTCACCCTCAATATCATTAGACTGTATTTACTTTTAGGGTTAAAACATAACTAATTAATATTCAGAGTCTGGAAAACATTTTAAAGCTTTCATCATGAAAAAAATCTGATGTATGTGGTGGTTCATGCCTACAGTCTCAGCACTCAGGAGGTTCACAAGTTCAAGGCTAGCATGACTACATAACAAGTTTCAGGACAGCCTTAGCTAAAGCAAGATCCTGTCTCAAACAAAACAAAACAAAATAAAATGAATCAATCAACAAAAACCAACATCAACAACAAAAATAAAAACCCGGAGAGGAAAATTAAAAGACCTGCTTTTTATGCGATTTGAAATAACTGAGCTGGACAATGGCCTTGGAAAGATTCGGCGAAGACAATAATGCCGAGAAGCAGGTGAGGTAGGGTGTTCTTTGTGGGCTGAAGGTTGGGGTCATGAATAACCAGACATGTCTGGAAGAACTGTATTACTGTTAGAGCAACTCTCATGAAATATGTTCTAGACCAGAGGTTCTCAACCCATGGGTCATGGATCCCTTTTGGGGGTGTTGACTGACCCTTTCACAGGGGTCACATATCAGATATCCTGCATATCAGTGTTCACATTACGACCCGTTACAGTAGCAAAGGGACAGTTATAAAGTAGCAGTCAAAATAATTCCACGGTTTAGGGTCAGCCCAACTGTATGAAAGGGTTGCAGCTGCAGGAAGGCTGAGAACCAGGGCTCCAAATGTTCGCTCACACAACATCCTCACACTCAGCATTAATCGCTACAGCTGTCCAATTCTGTTTCACTTGAAAATGGTTTCATTTTATCCTAAAGTGATACACATTCGTTCACTCATCTCACTGCCTGCTATTTCAGTCCACGGTCCTTTTGGCTTCGAGGAAAAACCACACTTTCTCCTCCCACAAGCCCTTGCTCGACGTTATTTGCACACCACACCTCATGTGCATCTGTGAGCCAGTCCTACTCATTGGCACTTACACTAACGCTTTTTTTTTTTTTTAAAGATTGGCACAGGCTTAGTTTTGGAGGAGTATCTGTGAGGGAGCTCGTGTTTTCTGTAGGAAGTTGCGTTTTCTTGGACTAGCTTAAAATACTTACAAAATATTATTTACATATACTAAACTTTCTTACATGTTCTATGCTACTTGTATTTTAAAACCATCTTATTGTGAATATACATAGAATATAGATGCAGTAATTTAAGCATGTTCACCCACAGCCCTGGGCTTGAGCAAAAGACAGGCTTTGAGTTCTCTCACCAAGAAGACGAAACCCCTGAGCTGCATCCATTACCCTTGTCCCAAGCTGCCCTGAAAGCTTCATCATGCCCCTCAGATTCCCACTGTTAATAATACTCTCATATCCTTATTAGTGATGCCAGAAAGGTGACAGAGACAGGAACCTGAACTCCAAGAAGGAAGCCAATGTACTAACCCACACTGCGTAGGGTTACAGCATCTTCCTTTGATGTTGATATTACAGAACTGTAAAGATGCTTAGGAACACTCCCTACATAATATATTAAGATTATTTTTGAAAATATACAGGTTTACTCGTGCTTGAAAAAAATCAGAGAATTAGAAATATTCCTTAACATACCTAGCTGTTGTATATGAATAAGAATATGTAAATCATGATCATGATCAGAGGTTATCCAGTAGGAGCCAAATTAGTCCAATACCACAAGCTTTGCTAGATTTTAAAAAGATATTTGGGTACAAATATCCAAATTTGGCTAGTATATTTTTCCAGTTTGCTTAGGTCATAGATGGGAACTGGTTTCTTTTGTATAGAGCATACTGTAGGAGCCCCGCAGCTCTGTGGGAGCCACTATGCTACCAGAGATACTAGGAAGGGGGCAAATCACTCTTTCTGTTACGGTGACATTCTGGGTGAGACGTGAGTCAGAGGTGGCAGTGGTGGGCTGCACGAGGGAGCCTGAAGTTGCGTGGGTTTCTGTGAGCAAGTAGTTACCAAGCTGTAAAGGGTCAGGAATGGCAATGGCAGGGTGGACAGACCCGGAAGTGAACAAAACAGAAGCATCCTGACTGCCAGGCAAAGTCTGGTGTCTTTGAGCACCCGACTGAGCGACCTCCAGACTGCCAGGCAAAGTTTGGTACCTGTTAGAAACTGATTGAGGGACTTCCAGACTGCCAGGCGAAGTCTGGTACCTTTGAGAACGTGACTGAGGGATTTCCAGACTGCCAGGCAAAGTTTGGTACCTGTTAGCACCTGACTGAGGGACTTCCGCAGAGCGAGCAGAGATGCCTGCCCCAGAACCACTGTCTTTAGGGCCTGGCTTTGCCTGCTTGGCTTCGTCATCAATACCGAGACATATCTCTGCAAGCTTTTTAAATTTGGGGCCAAGGGACTCCAAGAAGCTGTCATCTAGGTCATCGGGCATGAAGCTGCAGGAGCTGAGGGCAGGCGAACAGGGGGCGCCATCCTCGTCTTCGTCATCGTAAATCAGCAAACAGTCATTCACTTCCCGCTCATCCTCCTCCTCGGCATAGGCAAACGATTTCTAAAGATGGAGAGAGGAGAGACGGACCTCACAAAGACCATCGAATTTATCCATAAAGCCCAAGGCTGGAGAGTGAATCCCCACATTAGGAAATCCCCACTAGTGATGAAAATGGTCTTCATATTTTAAATTTGGTTATTTTTTCCTTTGGGTAGCTAAAATGTTTTCATTTGTTTATTTTTATTGTTAGTATGTTTTTAGTTAATGGTCAATATAATAGGTTTATGACATTCTCATAAATATATATCCTTGATCTTTGATCAGATTTAGATCCCTGCTTGCCCTTTCTTGCTCTCCCCTCTCCCCTGCTAGCCATTCTCCGTTTCCCCAATAGTCTGTCCTTGGCGTCCATGTGCTGTATGTGCACATATAGTTAAATATGGATTTTCTCAACGAGAGAAAGCACGAGATGGCTTTTCTTCCTGTTACTGCCGCATGTTTCCCTCCTCTCTCCTATTCTTTCCCTTCCCTTCCAAGAAGTCCCTCCTGCTTTCACGTCATAGATAAAAGTAAACCTAGGTCCACACTAGAGAAAGCAGGATATGGGTCTTCCTGAGTCTGGTTTCAGGAAATACTCTTTAATTTACATTTTTGTTTGGGGAATTGGCAATATGGCTGACAGTCCATCAAAGAGGCTAGCCTAGGCTTATGTGTTAGTTCTTGATTTCAGTCTCCATAGCAACTGTATATACTGCCTGGAGTCTATCACTAGGGCTGCTTGATTTTTGTCTTGGGGACAGGCAGCTTTCTCAACGCTCATGGAAACAGTTTTCACCCCATGGGGACTTTGCATTAACTTTGTCTTTGCTGGCTTGGCTTGTGAATTTGAACTGGTGGCTCAAATCTGACAGCCACCAAAATTACCTGATTTATTTTGACAAGAGGAAGCTTTCCTTTCCTCACATTGAAAAAAGTGTAGAATGTATCTCAAAATGAATGCATACAATCAAGTAGCCAGATTTCCTATATAAATGAGATAACCCAGCCTGACAGTTTGCTACGCAGTTACCTGATTAAAGTAGGAACCTAGGAAAGTCATGTTCACTGGTGCAACAACGTAGTCCTTCAAGGTCCCTCCAGTGGAATGCCTCGTTCTCATCGTTCCTGAGTGATCCAGGGAACAGGGGCCAAGTGTCCCCGCAGCTCCTGCTCCAGTAGCGGCTCCCATTTTGGTAGTCATTTCCATTCCCGAAGCACCTTCCACCACCGTCCCTCCAGCATATGTGTTTGTACAGACTTCTAAAGGCAGAAGAGAGAGAGAGAGAGAGAGTTCGCTGATAGTTCATGCTGTGACTTTGTAAAAAGCTCCTATGTGTGCATATGTGTGTGTATGTTCGTGTGCACGCCCAGGGGTGTGCTCATGCCCACGTGGTATGTGTGCACACGTCAGACTTGTCAGAAGTCAGTCGTGGGTGTTGACCCTCAGGGCACCATCATCTCTTTTGAGCCAGGGTCTCTCCCTGGTCTGGAACTTGTAGATTCAGCTAGACTCTCTGTCAGTGAGCCCTGGGATCTGCCCCCTATCGCCCCAACATGGCCACAGTGCTTAGCTTTTTCATGAAATCAGGGTCTCATGCTCGTACAGCAAGCACTTGGCTGACTGAGCTCTTTCCAAGCCTTAAAGTTCTCTCATCTTTGACAGACAGTTGCCATATAAAGCCGCAATGTGACGGAAGTCTGGCGGTGTGGCTGGGGAACAGCATTGCCGAAGGTTTCTGTGAGAGAAACTCTGAAGGGGCGTGGGCAGGTGGAAAAGACACAAGAACATGTCAGTCAGTTAGAGGAGGGTACAGGGGAATTGGGTTGTCAGTGGCAATAGCCAGAAAGAACAACGTGAAAGGACAGGCGCAGTGATCAGCCGTGGAAAGCTTCCGAGCGCGTGTGTTCTCAGGTACAATGACATTGCAGTCAGGCAGCCGTGTGGTTTCAGTATGGGAAATGAAGATCGTCTCCATGACGTGGCCGTGCAAAGTGACAGATGGTACCCATGGGAAATTTAAAGTGTTACGGTGTGTTTCCTATTTCTTTCATGTTATGCTTTCATAGATTATTTGAATTTATTTTCACTTTTTATTTGTGCCTGTGTGAATGTGGGCCCATGTGTATGGATGGGTACCCACAGAAATCATAACAGGCTATCAGATCCCCTGTGACTGGAATTCACAGGTGTTTATGAACCACCCAGTGTGGGTACTGGGAATTGAACCCCAGTCCTTTGTAGTACCAACCAGTACCCTAAACCACCTGACCAATTCTCAAGTTCATCATGAGCTATATTTTTTATTTATTTATTTATTAATTAAAGATTTCTGTCTCTTCCCCACCGCCGCCTCCCCTTTCCCTCCCCCTCCCCCAATCAAGTCCCCCTCCCTCGTAAGCCCAAAGAGCAATCAGGGTTCCCTGCCCTGTGGGAAGTCCAGGGACCAGCTATATTTTATACCAATTCTGAGTTCAGTTTTTGCTATAGAATCATAATGGGAGAAGCAATTGAGTATTTGAGAAGCTGTTGAAGGCTGATATACAGTTAAAAGCTGTTAACTGGAGATAGCTTGTGCAGATTTTTGCTAACTATAGAATTAAGAATAAAATTCCTGTGAGTGTCATATTGCATGCTAATTTACAGTGTACTTCTAGTAATGAGACAGCATGATTGAAATTGTTACTCAGTAAACCCAAAGAAATAACAGATTCACTTAAATGCCAGCTTTAGGCTTTTGCCCCATGGTGATTGCAGAGAACTAGGAACTGAACTCAAATCAGCAACACAGTTGATGCTGTTATGCCAGGAAGAGGGACAGAATTGCAGATGTGCACACAGTGTATACACACACACACACACATACACACACACACACACACACTCACACGAGGCATGAACGCTCACACATGAGACACAGATGTGCACACATAGGATTTGACGGGCAAACATAACCCGACCTGAACTAGCAATAGACAGAGTTGGTGGTAGGCACAGCTGTTGCTTGAATTTTCATTTACAGTTTTCTAATACTGTAAAACAGTTCCTAACTAAAAGTTATTGATTAGTGGTTGGAGAGATGGCTCAGAGGTTAAGGGCTTGACTGCTCTTCCAAAAGACAGGTTCCATTCCTGGTACCCATGGAGTGGCTCACAGCCATTTTTAACCCTGTTTCCAAGGGATCCTATACCCTCTTCTGATTTCTGTGGGCAACAGGCATGCACATGGTGCATAGACTTACATGCAGGTGAAATACCTCTAAACAAAACAAAATAAAAAATTAAAAATATTTTAAAGTTAGTAACTAGTTGATTGAGAGCTATAGTTGTTTCAATTCATTAAAATTTGGAAAATTTAAAAAAAGTCTTTAGATTTTTCCAAACAGCAACATCAGCGAGTGAATTACCTCATGGAGGGCAGACCAGTGCTGTGGAATTGGCTCAGACACAAAGAACTGTAAAGCCAGCTTCTAATCTCAGTGGTAATATCGCTTGTTATGTACACGAATGTGCAATTATTGATCATTTCTTAATTTTGGCTAGTTCTCCTCTAACCTGCCCTTACTTTCAAAGTTACATTTTAAAAATAAATTCCAGCTACTCAGGAGGTTGAGGCAGGGGGATTTAAAGTTCAAGGACTGCCTGGGCAAATTAGTGAGAGCCTATCTCAAAGGAGAAAACATAAACAAGGATGGACTGTACCTCAGCATGCATGACACCCTGAGCTCAAATTCCAGTACAAATAAATAAACAAATTTGATGCCTACTCACCAGAACTTTCCATAAAATCTGCACCATTGGTTGTGATAGGAGGCACACAAATATTTGTGATTTCCTACAAATTATAAGACAAACACATGTTTCAGTGCAATACAGATGAAGTGTGACCCCCTTATAAGTGATAACATTAAAATTCTTCTAGGAGTGTGGCCCTTTTTAGGACAGGACTTCTGTAGAGCTGGAGTCCTAGAAGTCCCCATCCATGACAGTTTCAACTCTCCATTTAGGATTAAGATGTCTCCTGAGCTCCCTCTATTCCCTTTTCCTACTTTAACATAAACTGTTTCCCACTGCACGGCCGCAGTAACTGTCTTACAGACTGGATCCTCACCTTGTCTTCAGGCTGGGCTCCTTCAATTCCCCACTGATGGATTGTTCCTTCTGAACCATCAGGCACAGGGATAAAGCCACCTGTCGCGGCTCCTCCTCCGATGGGACCTGACCCACAGTCACAGGCCAGCAGCAGAAGCGGGGCCACTGGGCAGGGACAAGGATAACAAGAGAACGTTTGACTCCATCGGAAACTATTTGACATGGCAATTGTCAAAAGTGTTACAAAGGCAATACAATAATTCAAACATTAAAGGAGGATATTTACTGAAAGCAAAATAAGTGTCTACAGAATGCAATTTGGTAAGTTAAATGCAGTAATTTTCTAGTGATCATTAGCTGTAGGAGGCCAGGCCATTTCTTGGAGGGTTTGTTCAATTTTGTAATTCCTTTTAATAATACTTATTATTATTACTTGCTGCTGTTGTTATTATTCTTGTTATTACTATTTATTGTACTTCTTTTTCCATGTTGACTGTATCAATTATGTCTGGCAAATATACACAAAACTATGATACCCCATAATCAGGATTTTAGGTGATTTTGATCATACTTCAGGATCTGATCTTTACTAAAGAGCAATTGACCAGCAAAGTGCAACAGCGGCTAAAGACAGTTTAATCAATGGCTGTTAGTGCACCATGTGTAATGCACTGTGTGTGTGTACTGTAGGTGTGAGGTGCTGGGACCTGGAATCCAGGTTCTGGCAGAGCCTGTGCTCTTAACCTCAGAGTCGTCTCCCCAGTCCCCATCAGTGCACTTTTAATTGTGAACAGAGCGTCCTTAGCGTGGAGGGTCTTCCAGCCACTGCGTCATCCTTTCTGCTAATGGGTAAGACATGTTCATTTGAAAACATTTTTTATAGGTATGGGTGTTTGGCCTGCATCTTTGTCTAAGGACCGTGTGGCTGCCTGGTGCATGCAGAGGCTGGAAGAAGTGTCAGATTCCCTAGAACGGGAGTTACAGGCACTTGCTGGCTGCCGTGTGGGTACTGCAATCCAAGTCCAGGTTCTCTGGAAGAGCAGCGAGGGCTCTTAGCTGTTGATCCACTATCTAGTTCTGTGGTCACTGCCTCATCTCCATCCCTGCACTGTCAAGGCCATATGAACCCTAATGCTTGAACTGTCTGCTTAGAAGTGGTTCCCTGAGCCGGGCGGTGGTGGCGCACGCCTTTAATCCCAGCACTCGGGAGGCAGAGGCAGGCGGATCTCTGTGAGTTAGAGACCAGCCTGGTCTACAGAGCGAGTTCCAGGACAGGCTCCAAAACCACAGAGAAACCTTGTCTCGAAAAACCAAAAAAAAAAAAAAAAAAAAAAGGTTCCCTGAAAGGTTAGCAAATGCCGTCTCTGAATCAGACTTCTAGGGTTTGAACTTTGGATGCATGGCTTTTCAGTTCTGTGATCCCGAGTTGTTGTATGATCTAAGTCATCAGTTCAAAGGGGAAGCAAATGGTGCCTCCATCATGGTTGTCTGAGAGAGGGAAAAGACAGTAATGGATACTAGGAGGAGCTGCTAGTATTGCTAGAGTGAGCTACATAACTATGCAAATTATATCAGTCATATTAGTATAAAACTAGGTCAAGTTATAAATAGATGGGATGTAATTCATACAGCATATTAATTTTAATATAATGCTTATATGAATTGTATTTATCATTAAAATATTTTATTTTTAATTATGTGCACACATGTGCATCTGTGTGTAGTTATGTGCATGTGAGTGCACATGTCTCTGAGGGCCAGAAGAGGATGCTGGGTCACTGGAACTGGATCTATAGGGAGTTTTGAGCCATCCACTGTATGTACTGGGAACTGAATTCAGCTCTTCTAAGAGCTATGTGTTCAAGACCACTGAGCAATCTCTCAGCCCCATAAACCATATTTCTAAAGACAGTTGAAGTAATAAACTAAAAAATTATTGTGAATTTATTGAGGATCTCTTATCTGACTCCTTTCAAAGTTTCTTTAAGTAGAGGACTCGTGCATTCACAGCATCATTTGATTAATGAACTTTTGATTAAAATGAAAATTTCCAAGAATCTATCTACTGAATAAACTAAAATGCACATTTATAAAAAGACAGTAAGACATGTAGTTTCCCTAAATGTCTTCCTATTATGTATGAACATTAAAATGTTTTGTAAAGGTTTATTTTATATGTATGAGTGTGCACTGCATATGTGTCTGGGAGTTATGGGTGGTTGTGAGCCACCATATGGGTGCTAGGAATTGAACCCGGGCCCTCTGAAGGTACCCCTAACTACCGAGCCACCTTTGCAGCCCAGGGGTGAATATTTTAAAGGGTGCACATGAGATAAGGAATAAACTCTGATTTGAGGACTTGCTGGATTAAATAATAAATCCTCAGGGCTCAAGTTCTGCTAACGTGGATCCTAGATGACCTCTCTGAAGTTATGTGACCAGCATTCTTTGTTTCAGAACTATAGTTATGAGACTAATAGGTGAGTCAGAGATGTATATGTCCATTTTAGAAAGCCCATGCATATGAATAAAGGCATGGTTTTGACTGTGAACAGAGCATCTTTATAATTTCCCCCTCACTCTTGTCCGCTACCCTCCGCGTGTGTGGAATGTGCTTGTGAGCACACACCATACGAGTGTACTCATGGAGGCCAGAGCACCACCTGAATATCATCCCGTGAGTGTCTTCCCCTTTTGTTTGGGACAGGGCTTCTCAATGGCTTGCGCTTCGCTAAGTAGGCTAGGCTAGCTGGCCAGTGAGTTCTAGAAATCAGTGTGTCTCTTCCTTCCATCTTGGTACGGCTGGAATTACAAGCATCCATTGCGGCACTTGACTTTTTAGGTGGGTGCAGGATTGAACTCAGGTTCCTTATGCTTGCGAGGCAAACAGTATTGACTGAGCCATCTCCCCAGCCCTGTCTTTTTTGGAATGTTTGCATATATGACTTGCCTTGCTGTATTTAAATTGCTGTTAAGTGACAAGCTAAACACATCTGAGATTTTTTTTTCTAGCAATTTCTTTCAGCTTCACCAGTTAAGTGATTAGAACGATGCTTCTCACATTGCACAGATGAGCACAGTGACTCTTACAAATGAGGCCTTTGCCACAGACTCCGACAGGCGTGTTAGTTTACTCACACAGCAGCATCAGGAGTCCCAGCAGGATCAAGCCGATGGCAGCGGGCCCCAGCCGCCAGGATGACTCTCTGTGTCTCATAGGCTCTCTGCTCGGGTTAGGGGCTCGGCACATGTTCCGGTCATCACACTGACACACTGTCAGGGTCAGGATCTCTGGTGTGTCACACTGCCCGCCCTCATTGTCCTTCACAACGACTGGGACGCTGTACACTCCTGGGGACACCTGCTGCTGGGCTCGTAGAAGTGCGGAGGTATCTACAAAAAAGTCAAAAGCAACAGTGAGACCAGGCAGCACTTGCTCTTAAAGCCTCCTCTTTGTGATAAGGGTGGCAGCATTGTCTTGGAATCATGGTCACAAACAGCCAGACTGGTGTTGTTGGAGCAGAGCTGAGTGGCGAAGGGGTTTGGCGGGGTCAGTCTGCCCACCAGGAGTGTCCAATCATGTAGGCCACTGTGGCCTAAAACAGCTGTAGATACAGTCGAACACAAAATTGTAAAAGCTAATTAAAATACAAGAGATTGATTTTGTTTGTTTGTTTGTTTTTATAGACTGCTCAGTACTTGAAGTCTTTAGAAGACAGCTTCAAAGTGTTGTGTCATGAAACACAGTGTTGTGAAAATACACACACACACACACACACACACACACACATATATGTATATATATTTGCAGTCGCCAGGCTCTTGTAGGTTCAGTATTGTGCGTTAGACATCTCTCTGTGGCCCAAGACAGTTTTTCATCAAATGGATCCCAGAAAAGCCAAAAAGTTGAACCCCTCTGGTATCTTCTTGTCATTCTCTCCCATAGTCCAACAGACCCATGATTCCCCTCCACAAGGACCCAGCCCTGTATTATTTTTTCTACTGAAGTTTGTGGGAGTCGGGGCATCACAATGTCATGTTTATATCCTGAGCTTACCCACTCGTGTGTATATCTGCACCAATACTTATAGACACATGACCTCATGTACACTTTCAAACTCTGATCCCATGTCTGACTCTTTGAAATCTAGTTTGGGTTTTGGGGGTGCTCTCTCATCTGCTCCTTTTGCTTATCCCCAGAGCTAAGGGCCTGGGTGATAGGGTTCCTAGTGGTGGGGCCCATTGCCTATTAGACAACTGAGCACCACCTGGTTTTGGTTCTCCATTACTTTGTCACCTCTTTCTAAGTAGGAAACCTGGCAGTGTTACATTGCTTGAATCATTCTGGAACTCACAGTGCCCTTGACATTGTGCCATGGCTACATAGTTTGTGTTGACCAACCTAACTCAATTCAGTCACCCCCATCCTGTCACCCCAATACTTGACCCTAGGACTTTGTGAGTACTAGGCATGAGCAGTACCACTGAGCTACATTCCCAGCTGTCTGTTCACTGACTGTGCGTCTATCTGGCAAACGCCTTTGGAGACCAATGGCGCATACAGTTTGGAGCTATTCCTCTATATAAGATCAGAACGCTGAGAGTGAGAGAGCAAGATTTCTTTAGTGTCTCTGGCCATGACTGATATACGACTGCAGGATACCATGGAGCACATTCATTAGAGGAAGCAAGATTTGCACAGAAACCAGAGAGGGAAAGTGTGTTTGCAGAGGACTAGAAGCATCTGGATGGTCACTGTGCAGTCCAGAAAGGGACTTTTGAAAAACTCAGAAAATATATGATAAACACAATACGCTTTAGGAGGAAGATTCCCTCTCTTTCATTGACTAGTGAGTTTGCAGCTGTCAGTCTACTGGACTCAAGGTTACCTCTGACAGGCCAAGCTCCAGCCCAGGCTAGACCGCACAGAGAGATCCTGTCTCAAACAACGATACTAACAAACCCAGAAACCAGTAAATGATGCTCAGCTCATCCAATTTCTCCTCAGAAGAGACCAGGCTCATGTCTTAGTTTCAAAGCAATGCTTTCAGTTTTTCTCAGAAAGGACCTCCGTCAAGGGGGTTCATGTTCCTCTGGAAATACACAGCAGCCGCAGCTTCGGCCCACAGAGGCAAGTTTGCTCGCTCACCATTCATCATTCTGATGTTCCACATGACTGGCAGTTTCAGAGGCTGCTCCTCCAGCGACACTGTGTAGGGGCCAGTGTATCTGCCCCTCTCCAGGGTTTTCACCGAGATGAGCACAGACGGCGAGGCACTGCTACAGATCTCGTTCTTCTCCAGGACAACCGAGGGACAGTTTTCACTGAAACTGGGCACTTCGACGTGTACTGTGCCCGTAGACGTCTTACCAGTGTTTTCTGTAAGAATAGTAAAGGAATACAGAGAGTAAAGTTGAACAAAACATGATCTTTCACACCCCATCTCCCCTCCTCTCCTGTCCTCTCCCGTCCTCTCCTTTCCCCTCCCCTCCCCTCCTCTCCTCTCCTCCTCCTCTTCCCCCTCTCTCGTTGCTTTCTCTGAGTTCTTCCCCTTCTCCTCCTCCTTACTGTTCCTCTCCACTCCCCGTTTCTTTCTATCTTTTCACCTTCCTTTCTTTTTCTGCTTTCCTCTCTCCTCCACACACTCGTCTCTCTCCCCTCTCTTCCATCCTTTCTTTTTCTTTCCTTCCCTTCCCCCTCTCCCCCTCTCTTTCCTCTCTCTCTCCTTTCCTTCCTTTCTTGTTGAGAAAGAGTCACTCTAAATTGCTCAGGCTGGCTGTGAACTTCGGCCTCAGTCTCCTGAGTAGCTGGGATTATAAAGATATGCCCTGCAGCCAACTTACAAAATTAATTTTTTATATTTCTTTCTTGTTGCCAAGTCATGATAACTTCTCATGAAAAGTTGTGTTTGTTATTATCAGGAGTAAAAAGACACCATCCTATCTCTGCAACTTATAAAACCAGTTCAGACTTGTCAAGTTGTCTGGTGTCTCTAGTAAGCAGCATGAGTATTAGTTAAATAGTCGTGAAATCAAAGTAACTGATTCATTAATTACAAATGAAATTAAAACAAAAAATAGCTTGTAAGGGTCTTGCTTCTGCAATCTGAGCCCCCAGTATTTAAAATAAATAATTATATTTATTACTTAATACTTAAAAGTTTACTGAAGTCAGGGTGGGTGGTGGCATGTGGATTTTTAATCCCAGCACTTAGGAACAGAGACACGTGGATCCCTGTCAGTTCGAGACTAACCTGCTATACATAGTGAGTCACGGGACCAGCTCCATACAGTCAGGCCCCATTTCAAAAAAGCAAGCAAACAATTGATGTTTACAATCCAGCAACAAAATAAAACTCTTTGGTAGTGAGATGATGAACGAGTTCTGTCATTTTTGCGGTTGGGGTGGTTTTTGCAAATGTTAATATTTTTGATGTTTATTTTTGGTGCTTATTACACCGAGCTTAAATTAATTTTATAGATCGTTTAACACATACATTCTATGAATATTATTTTAAGACATCTCAGGAGAGGAAACTTCATTGCTTAATGACATGAGTTTACAGGGAGCTCACAACGTGAGCTTATATTTGGAGTGGATTTGTGGTTGACTGTCTATAGGGATTTTTCCTTGTCCTCTAAAACTCAGTTATTTCTGTAAGTCAAAAAATTCCTCCTGAGGCTTGGGAAATGGCTCAGGGTGTGAGAACACTGGATGTACAGACATGAGAACCCACGTTTGGATCCTTAGCACTGTGTAAAAAGCCGGGGCTACTGTGTGTGTGTGCGCCTGTAATTCTGTCTTGTCGGCCTGCTGACAGCCAGCATTGCTCCAGGTTAAGTAAGACACCCTGTCTCAGGTTACTAAGGCTTACACTGATGAAACAGGAAACTCAACATCTTCCTCTGGCCTCCACAAATGCATGGACACATGCATTCCCACACACATAGGGATGAATGCACATCATACACACACATATGTACACATGCACACTTTCTCCCTCACCCATAGTAAACCAAAGGGACCAACTAAACTGAGAAGTGGAAATTCTTAGTCTCTCTTAGGTTAAGGTGTGGGGTCTTAGACTCAAGGCCGGAAAGTGCCTAAGATAATAATCTCTATGATAAAGAGAAAATAAAAAGCAGTCATATCCATCTACTCTGAAGGAAATGCTTTTTTTTAAAATACATTTAATTCAAAACCACGGAAATAGCTTTCTTACCATCTATAGCCAGAACCTCAGCTGAGATTGTCTTGTTAACTATGAAAGTAGAATCTCGGTCGATGTTTTTGATAAATTTGATCTGAGCAGTTTTTGGATCAATAACAAGCAAACCACCATCATTACGACCCAGGACATATCTGTTTTATAATAGAACAAAATATAAAATGTTATTTGCTTAAAAATATTGTTCATTAGACAGCCAACATATTTATGCATGATCTAAAAATGTTGTATATGTACTTGTAAACAATATCAGGGTACTGGAAACGTAGCTCAGTACTTAAGCTGTTCTCTAAGGGGATCTGGGTTTAGTTCCCAGCACCCACACAGCAGCTCAACCACCTATAACTCCAGTTCCAGGGGGATATGATGCCCTCTTCTGGTTCTTTGAGGAACTACACACATAAGGCACAAAGCTACATGTTCAGGTAAAACACCCATCCACATTAAAATAAACATAAATAAATCTTATAAAGCAATTAAAAAACCAGAAAATTAGCATGACATAGATGGATTACAATTCATAATCTTATGCATGCATTAGTCTGGTTACCCAATTTTGGCTGTGGAAAATAAAATAGAACAAAGTAAAACAAACCCTGTGCCTTTGCTCTTTACACTGCGACTGTTACTCTGTACGACGTTTATGCTTCAGCTATTACTGACTTTGCTTTGGATTGAGCTGATGGAGGAGGGTCTATGTGTTACTTTCATTGGTTAATAAAAAAACTGCCTTGGCCCTGATAGGACAGAAAATTAGGTAGGCAGAGTAAACAGAACAGAATGGTGAAAGAAAGAAGCCGAGTCAGGCAGTCACCATGATTCTCCTCTCCAAGACAGACACAGGTTAAGATCTTCCCTGGTAAGTTACCACCTTGTGGTGCTACACAGATTATTAGAAATGGGTTAATCAAGATGTGAGAATTAGCCAATAAGAGGCTACAGATAATGGGCCAGGCAGTATTTAAAAGAATACAGTTTCTGTGTAATTATTTCTGGTAAAGCTAGCCATGCGGAGCTGGGCGGGAACGCAGCCCACCACAGCTCTTACTACATTGAGCCATAATGTCTTCTCTCACTGGTGCTCACTCTTCTGATGAACTTCTAGCCTTTTCCAAGTCTCAACTGTGAAGCGCTCTCCTGATTTCCACATGGGCTAAGGCATCCCTCTTTTAGTGTCTACTAGTTTATGGGCATACTATTTTTGCTCACGGCACAATGTATTCTAATAATTTATCTTTATATCTCTTCTTAGGTTGTTTGGCTCCTCAGTTTCCCCCTTTTTATAGCTCTGGTTTTGGCAGCTAGTGAGTGGAGCGTTATGCTGTAGTCGCTTATAGACGAAAGCTACATGAAGGCCTGAAAGGATAGAAGGCTCATCTTACCTGACAGTCGAGGCAGCTCTACCAGTGTCTTCATCAGTAGCTTCATATGTTCCCAGGATATAACCAGCCAGTTTACTGGTGCTTATGCTCCCTGGCACAGTAAATGTCTTGGAAGGAGGACGGAAAGAAATGCCTTCTTGGACATTGGTGACTTGGATAATGACTGGAGTCGGCTGCACTCGGTACTGAGAGATCACGGACTGGTGGAACTCAGCTTTGTTCCTGACGGCGATGCTAAACTGCAGGCTTTGCATCTGCTCGTAATCCAGAGCCTGGAGTGAAGACCAAATTAGACAGAAGGGAGCGTCACAAAAGGCAAAACAAGAAAGCACAATCTGGAAGACAGGACCTTCTAATTCTATAGAGCAAAGATAGTTTCAGAAGTGATTGCAGTGTCAAATAGAGAATGCCTCAGGATTCCTAACTCATGAGACCTCGTTTTGGTAACCTGTGTTTAAAGCATAGTGTCTCCTTTCCAGATTAACGGAACATCATCAACTCTTTTTAGGCTGTGAGGGAGAACTTAAGAAGTCCTGAATTCATGGTGGTAACATGGCTCAAGTCTTCATTCTGATACATCTGAGCTGTGATCCTCAGCTTTTCGCTTCTAAATGTTATGTACATTTTATTAATTTGTTTAAGAATATTAGTCTTTTCAGCACTGGAAACAGAACCCAGGATGTTATGTAAGGCAGGCAACTGTTCTATCACCATGCCACACCCCGGGCCTAACTTCCTGACACATAAAACCAAACCTTATCTCACCAGGTTGTTGGGAGGCTGAACAAATAAAGTTCTATGATTCATTCTTTTTTTGTTTGTTTGTTTTTGAGACGGGGTTTCTTTGTGTAGTTCTGGCTGTCAATCTATAGACTAGACTGGCCTCCAACTCAGAGATCTGCCTGTCTCTGCTTCCCGAGTGCTGGGACTAAGGACATGCCCCACCACTGCCTGGTGATTCATTTTTTTTTTTAAATAAACAGCCACTTGGCCATTAATAATATATTCATTGGATTCATGTATCTTCTTTTCTGACATAAATAAAATTCCAAGGTTCAAAGGCCACTTATTGCGTCTTTGTTGGCAAAAAGACCAACCAATTCTTTTTTATATCAGTGAGCAATTGGCCCAAGTCTTTATAAAACCAATTTTCAGTGTTTTTGCTTATAGTGGCTTGGCTTTCTAGTTAAGCTGGCCTAAATCAAGAGTTCAAGGTTAACAGTTTTCATTCATTCGTTTTCTTCTTCTTTTTTTAGGATGGTAGATTAGGAAATGCTAATTTTGGCTTTATCTATTTACCCGCAGAATATTTTTTTTCTTTTTTTTTAATTGAGAAGTTATTTATTTATTTATTTATTTTTCTTTTTTTTTATTTTAATATTTTTTAAGGGAAGAGATCTGGTTTCGAGTGTCAGCTACAGGGACTGCTTGACAGTGTCAGAGTTCCCCGGCAGAAGGGAAAGTGTGGGTAGAGGTGGCAGAGCTGTGTGGAAGCAGGAGGGGCTTCTAGTCGAGAGCTGGGAAAGGCATCTGAGAGGATCTGCACTGAGCACTGAAGGATGCTGGGAAGTTCTTCAGGGAAAGGCGGAAACATCTTCAAACACCCTGCGCTGCGGAAGGATCTGAGTGGCTGGTAGGGTAGGGTCTTGGGCACCGTAATGCGAAGGTCTGCCGCTTCATTTTGAAGTAGGTGGTCATCCACCTGGATGGCACGTTAGAATCATGTTGCTTAATTTAAGACTCAATAATATGAATGTTTGCCCCACAGACTCCTCCCACGAATCCTTTCTGTATTCTATGTAGAAAAACTGCAGGTGACGTGAAGGTGCTGTTGGCACGGGGCCAGCTAAGCTCATTGAGAGCCAGGGCAGGATTGACAGAACAGAGTAAGTCATCTTGTTTGTTTCTTTAAAAAATGTGGTAGTGGACTGGTGGCAGTGAGGACGACAACTGGGGACAGGCAGCAGGGACACCTGCTAGACAGTATTGCAGTCAGGTAAGACGGAAGGAGCAAGGCAAGGCAGAGGCTAGGTGGAAAAAAAAAGGAGGAAGCCATCCTTGTTTCATAGCTTGCGCAGAACTCGGTGGCTGGTGGAATTGTCAAGGTTCAAGGTTCAAGGATAACAGCCAGGTGTCAAGTTTGAGAAAGGGAATGACCCCAGGACATTAAACAGGGAGTCACGATGATGTTGGAATTTATAACAAGGTCTTTGCAGATTCAGAAGCAGTGACACTCTCTGTGAAATGTGGACCACTAAGGAAGTGTTTGCAAACCTTCTGGAAGTCTCTGTTAGGAAAATAATATCACTCCATCTTTGAGTCAGACCCAGTCGTTAAAGAAGCTCCAGAATGTTTCAAACCCAGTGCCAAAGAACATCAGCAGAGTGGCTACCGTTCGAGTCTACAGTTTCCAGGCACAGCTGCCCTGATGTAATTCCAGCTGGGAAGTCTGTCTTGCTGAACCCAAGCTTTACTCAGTGTTTTGCTTTTTACCTAGCAGAATTTGTTAAGTTTCCATTTTCTAGGAATTTTGTGATTTCTTTCTGTGACGACATTAGTTAAAGCCCTTAAAGCGTGTTGACAAATTCCCAAGTCACAATCCCATGCTTTCTTATCTCTTCTGAACTCCAATCCAGCTCCAGACAGTGAATCTGATTAATATATGAAAAGTTTTTTCTTTCCTGTCATGAGAGTATGCAAACCTCCCCCACCATGTGTGTGTGCGTATGTGTTAAAGAAAGTATGGTAGCTTGGAAGGAAAAAATAGTATTTCAAGAGAAGTTGTCTTTAAGTAACAGAGCTATGATGAGAGTAAAATAAATGCTGCCCACTTTGTTATGTTTTCTATGTTTTAAATAATAGAGTGATCATATCATTGATGTAATTTATTTGTATAACTAATAGTTTGAGTTACTGTAGAATGCTTTTACCCACTAAAGAAACTCTGACCTTACCTTAACCACCTTCAGGATGCCTTCGTTGGTTCTTGGATCTGTTTCAATTTCAAACCAATTCCCCTCATTCCCAGAGGTAAAGAAGTACACGGCCAACCAGTTATCCGTGTACTCTTCGTCCCAGTCTGTTACTTGAAACCGGAGTAGCTCGGCGTTTAGAGTGTTTTCCTCAATGCGCGCTGAGTACTGAAAGGGAGAAGCGCAGGATTTAAGAGTCAGTGCTAGGAGTCCTGAGTGCTGCAGCCACTCTGTCCACTGCCAGGGTTGTTTGGGTGACCTGGCTGCTTAGTTCAGTGTGCCCTTCCTCCCGCACTGTGTCAGCCCTCCCCCATGAAGAGGATGGTCCGCAGCTCCACTGCTAGAACCGCTAGAAAAGGACTCAAGAGTCCACACTAGGGTTTACCTAAAAGACTATTTTTAAATAATATTAATTCTTATTTCTCAAATTATGTGTTATTTCATACCAATCCCTTAACTGCCATATTTGAGGGTTTTTTTTTTTTTTTGACAGCATTCTCTGTGTAGCCTTGGCTGTTCTGGAACTCACTTTGTAGACCAAGCTGGCCTCGAACTCATAAACTTTCCTTTGTCTTCCAAGTGCTAAGTGAGATTAAAGGCATGCACCACCACTACTCTACCTAAACTATATTTTTTAAATAGAAAAACATAAAAAATTTAAAACCCAACAAACAGGTAATTAGTAAATTGGGATGCTAAACTGTTAACCACATATAAAAATGGTTCTTCAAGAACCAGGGGGCATACCTGAGAATCCCTAAGCACCGGGAAGTTGTCGTTGACGTCTTTCACTTTAATACTGCATTCGCATTGAGTCGACAGTCCCGTTCCGTCATTGTCTGTACCACTCACAACCAGATGGTAGCTACTGATTTGCTGAATTTGGAGAAAGAGAATAAAATTTATGAATGGCCAGTAGTTGCCTTTATAGATATGATAAAATGATTCCATGAAAACATTTAAGATCGTGAAGCGTGGCAGAGAGAGACTGGTACGGCTCCAGATGCCTGGGTGGAGGTGTTGAGGGGCTGGAAGAGGCTTCCTCTTTGGCCAACTTCTGAAGGTAGCGGTGTAGATGTAGAACAAAAACATGGATATAGGAATGAGGTGTGCTGTGCCTGTCTGAGAGAAAGAGGGGTGCTGTGCCTGTCTGAGAGAAGCTCACGTGTGGCGTTTCCCTGCCAATCAGTTGGGAAAACCATTTGTGTGAAGGATATGTGTACCTGAGTAGCCTGCTCTGGTGGAGAAACACGGTGGAGGGAGAAGAAAAGAGGGAGAGGAAGAGATCCTTCGGTGTCTGTAAGGAGAGGTAAAAATAAATAGCGATGTCTAGAGGAAAGGTATGTATGCCTTCAGACTTTTATGACAGATAAACATCTCCTCATCTAAGAATTTTCTCCCATTCTTTAGGAATGAGTCCCAGAGTAGTCTGCTTCTACACACCAGCGTCTTCTTTAACCCCATTTGAGCTGTCGTGTGAGAGGTATTGTCCCAGGTACACACGCTACTACAGCGGAATCACACCCATGGAGGCAGGGTCCTCCAGATGGTGTCTTTGTGTTCTCTTTGTATCCTCAGATAAAATGGAGGTACCTCTCTTGGGTTGCTAGTCATCAAACCCTTTTGGCTTTTTCTTTTTTTTTTGATGCTTCCAGGTAATCTGCCTTACCTCTCGATCAAGAGAACTGGTCAAAGTGCGGACTTCTCCCGTGTTTCTGCTGATGAGGAACATGGGCATGCCTGCAGGCTCCTGGGAGACGATTTTGAAGGCAATTTTAGAATTCAAATGGTTTGGTTCATCCGCGTCTGTGGCATTTAGGATCATTACCAGTGAATCTAGGAATATAGGAAAATTGTCAAAGACATTACATTCACATCAAAGAGCCAAACTAGTTTAGCACTAATTCCCATTCAAAAAAAAATTTTTTTAAATACTACCTGTTTGCTTTAAAAAAAAAACTAAAAACAAAAAACAAAGTATGTCAGTGTTGTTCTTTCTGTTGGCTTTCAGAAAAATCTTCCAATGTTCCCTCAGCCTTGACTTTGTTGAGATTGGGGCTATCTTCTGACTGGAGTTCTCCCCCAAATAGATGCACCTGCGTGTTTCCTTTTAAATATGACCCAAGAAATATGAATAGATCTTGGCCTCCTATAATCCAAACTCATTGAGCTTGTGCATCTAGGCTGCCCAGGCGGCCTCTTCATTTTTGGGACTCACACAGAGTTTGTATGCCTAGGCACTAGCTTCGTGACGGGACTATAATCTACAAATGTAATCCTGGTGTGTAATTGTTGAGAGTTACTACAAAATTTGGAAAAGAAATCTCAGACTATCGTGATGAGGTTTTTTTTTTTTGTTATTAAACTACAGAGCAAAAGAACAGAATAGTTTTTAAAAATGGTATAATGACATGTGTAGTTGAAAGTCATGGATAGGAGGTGGTTGGTGCTGCTAAAGACTTACTTGAAGCACTGTTTTCTTCAATTTCACCCTTGAATATGGTTTGTGAAAATATCGGAGCATTATCATTGACATCTAAAATTTTCACTGTTAATATGAGTGGTCTCTCTACATCTTGTCCCAGGGCGTTCAGAGCTCGGCATGTGATCTAGAGACAAAGGGAGAATAGCCATTATCACTATACGGAGCTAGTTTGAATATGATTAACACCCATAGAAAGCAGAGCAGTGCTGGTATTTAGAGAAGTTAGTGAGAAAGGAAGAAAGAACATTTCCCCCAGGGTGGGTGAAGGGAAAGGTTCCCACTCTTGCTCTTGTCCAGCTGCTCTTTCTTCAAGCTGCTGCATTTTGGCAGGATGAAGTTCTGGAACGTGTCCCCAGTCCCTCCCCTATTCCCCGTCATCCCCCACTCTCTGGTGTATTATCCTAGGGACATGAACCATGGGGTGGGGGTAGAAGGATGAATTTTATTTGCTGATAGACTAATCCGTGTAATAAATTCTTCTCTTGCAAGCCTACCTGGAGAGAAGCTACCAGCTAACTTCACAAAGTACATGGAGAGGGCCAGCTTGACTGGGAACTCACCAGGAAGCTCGGGGTTTCCTCACGATCAACTATGGCCGTTATGTTAATATCACCATTGTTTGGGTCAACAACAAAGATTCCAAAAGGGGGCTGATCAATTCCCACCCCAGAAATTCGGTAGGTAATTTTCTGGGTTGCTTGAAAATCGGAAGTGATCTGTAAGGAAAGAAAATGGCTTAAATGTCAAGCTGACCCTTGACGAGCCTTCTCCTGACTCCTGCATGGTCTAAAGTCATCTGTTCACTGGATCCACCCTTTCCGTTGCTGTCGTTTTTTCTTGTTCTACTTATTTATTGGAGAGTCGGAATAAAAAAAACCAAGTACAGCTGCTCTGCTCACCAGCATGGACCAAGAATGACAAGCCATTCTGAGTGCTTATTTGGGTCGTGGTGCCACGGTGAGAATGTTAAAATGTTGTAAGAAAACAAAGGAGGCTTAGTGGTGAGGAAGCTTCTTCTGGATGTCCAATCCTTACTTACCATTTACAAAAGGATGCTTCTGTAAGTTCGGGGAAGTGACAAGGAAGGGGGAAACGGAGAGAATAAGGTAACAGATGCTCAGAGTACGTGTGAACATGGACTGAGTTTTATTTTTATAATCTTAAAGCTGTTTAGCAGAGCGAAGAGTACAGAGCTCATGAGACAGCTCATTGTCCAGCCTCAGTAGTCGCCATCCACGGTCACACTCACTCCCAGTCATCTAATTGCTGTCTCTTTCTATTTTTAGCCTTGCTTAATAGAATGTGGACAGGCACAGGCTTACGCATTAAAATGAGCCAATATATTTCTTAATCCCTATTTATAGCTCCAGAGGCTATCATTCCTATCTTTTTTCTTTTACATTACTATTATTGTAGTTTTGTTGTAGAGGACAGGTTGTTGTTCTGTGGACTTTCCAGGCTGCACATTGTTGAGTGGAATTCCTACAATGTCTTTAATTTGCATGTAATATGTTTATTCTAAAGCGCACACTGCTTCTGTCAATATGACTTACCTTGGCAATGGGATTTCTTTTTGAGTTGTCTTCTCTTTCTCTGCAGGGCTTGGCAAATTTGACCCATTCACGTTTGTACCTTCTTTTGACCGGCTGCACTGCTGTCCCGTCTTCTCCGTGCTGCCCTCCTGACTGTGTTGAAAGAGACCCCGATTTATCGCCTCCGTGACGGGCAGTCTTTGCTTTGAATATTGATCATAGATAGATACCTACGCTGAGAATCTTTATGTTTCTCCTTTGACGAGCATTTGCTCACCTGACCCTTTGTCGAGAAGAAGCAGCATTAAATAGGTCATCACAAAGCTATGTGATATTTCATCTTACTATTTAGTCAATTTGATTTCCCCTATAAACTCCATAGTAGGATTTGACTTCTTGTTTATTTGAGCTATGAAGAAAGGAGCCAGACATAGCAGGGAATGCCTGCAAGCAAGCACTAGGGAGGCTGAGGAAGGAAGATTGCCAGGAGTTCAAAGCTAGCCTGGTCGGCATAGTGAGTACCCAGCTAGGCAGCACTTCCCAGAAGAGCGGTTCTCAAGAGAAGAGAGCCAAGCAACCAACCCAGAATCCAATAGAAGATAAGATAAAATAAGACCATATGAGACAATAATCATAATATGTATAGATAAGTTTGAAATATCTTGAGTTATTTGCTAGAATTTTAGTTTTACACATTTTTACAGTTGAATTACCAAATAATTAAATTAAATGCTTTTCTCAATATAACTAAGTTTTACCAGTGAAGCGATTCTAATGATGCAGGCTGCACACTTTACCTCTGTTCGCAGCTCCCCGTGCACCAGCAGCACCTGCAGACATCAAGTAGAAACAAGCTCCACGTGAGTTCCCCAAACAGGCGACTGTGGAAAGCTATCCATCCTTATCACTGCATCTTGTTCTTCAGCTCATAGTTCGTTTCTAGTTTTGTAACAGTTTGCAGAAGCATCCCGAAGTGTAAAATTCTACCAGGAAAAGGAATATTCTCCAAATAAACAAGGTTCTCAACTTTTTCGATCTGACTTTAGACATTTTAAGGATTTGTTTTACTTTATGTCTATGGATATTTTGCCTGCATGTATGTGTGTGCACCATGTGTGCACCTGCTCAGTGCCCCACAGCTGGAATTTAGAATGGCTGTGAGTTGCCATGTCAGTGATGGGAGTTGCACCTGGGTCCTCTGCAAAAGCACCAAGAGTTATTAATTCTTAAGATATGCCTCCAGTACTGTGCTTCAGATTTTTTTTTATGCCAGAAAAGAGGAATCCACCAGTGGTTAGAGGCAGATGCTGCAGGATAGACAGACCTGGGCTGTACAGTGACTGCAGATCAGCTTGGACTACAAAATAAAACCCCGCCTCAAAACAAAACAACAAAAGCAAGGAAGAAGATCCACAGCCACCCCCACAACATCATCATCATCGCCATTGCCACCATTATCACCATCTCCTTGACTGTAAAATTCTGCTTTCAGGCAGTCTCAGTCACTAGATGTTTCTTACACAGTTATCACATAAAAACTTCCCAGAAATCATTGCTTTCAGAACTGTTATGATAAACTCCTGCAAGAGGCCACATAGTTATTGACAGCTGTTATGCTGGGCATGTTGGTGCATGCCTACAATCCAGCATGTGGGAAGCTAAGGTAGGAGGGTTACAAAGTGCTGGAGGCTAGTCAGGAAGACATAGCAGGACTTTGTCTCAAAATACTAGGAAGAAAAAAGCAACAACAAAACCAAAACCCTAAGCCTCTATTATCTATCATGTGTGCTTATACAAAAGCAACTTCAGATTAACTCCTTCTAAAGACAGGTTCTTTGTTCCCCACTTTTTTATCCCCCCTCCTCTTTTTAAAGCTGAACTAGAGTAAGGAGAATAGGACAAAACTATTCTGGTTTATGAAAATGGAACCTTTTTCTAAAAGCAGGGGTTGTCCTATGCCGGTCTTAGGTGCTGTTTGCTGTAGGGCACGAATCTGTTCTTCTTCCTACTGTAACATAAACATTACACTTCATTTTAAATTCCAGATGTGGTGGTGTTGTCTTCAACCCCAGCACACAGGAGACAGTGGCAGGTGGGTCTCTGTGAGTCTGAGACTATCCTGGTTTACATGGTGAGCTCTAGGCTAGGCAGAGCTACATGAGACCATGTCACAAACAAAAACAAGAGTTTCATTGTGTACTACGGGTCTAAAAATTTAAATGAGGACAAAAGAAGTGGGGCTGCCTGGGACCTTTGCTTTCTTAGGAGCCCACAGGCCTGGCACCTGGGTTGCTTTCCACCTGGAATGCGATCCTGCTCCTCACGGCCCACCTACAGGTGATTCACCCAGTCAAGCACCGGCATGCTACATGAAGCTGCCTTTACTAGTGGCTCCCTCTCTGAGTTTGTACAGCTCACATTCTCTTTAAGGGCATGTAGCTCACAAACGCTCCCTGTATCTTACTGTTTTATGAGTAGTAAAGAATTTCTTCCTGAGCTTTCCAAAGCCTGGGTCTTACGCTATTGCTCTTTCCTATTCAGGTGTTCAGCAAGTACAGTTCGGAACTCACCTGAACAGCAAGTTCGGATCTCACCTGAGTGTGAGATCCGAAGAAAAGAAGGGCATGGAAAACAAATGACAGGGTAAATTTAGGAGAGTGGTAGCGGTGGTGACTTGCTCAGTGTTTACTCACAGAACATTGTGCTTAATATTGCTATTGTTTATTGCAACCACCTGAAGAACAAAAAACTCCCGTTTTTGTGTATATAGAGAAGCAGGAACACGGATACTTTCTCTCTGTTTAACAACCCTTGATGAGCTAGGGTTTGAAACATAGCCACTTTATCTCCAGGGTGTGTGCATTGCCGTGACAATAGATTCTAACCCCAACCTAACGTAAATACACAGAAGAAAGTTGTAAGACGGTGACTTAGATTTTTATCTGGCCAAAGGCTGTTGGCTGATCCTGATGTAGACTTATTATGTCATTTATTTTTAAAGATTATAGTGAACAGGCAGGTCCAAGTCTTAACTAAAGGAGCAATTACACCAGACATATGATCAACCCCTCCATCATAAGCATTCTGATTTTAATTAACACCTCAAGATGATGCCCCAACATCGTGCAATCTCTGAGGAAAGAAGGGATCTGTATGGTGTGGTCACTGACCGTTCTTTCTCATCTGACTGTATGGGGAAGGATGGGCCGGGTGTGCTCCCCTTTACAGGAAAAATGGAGTCATCCAGAAACCATGAGTCACGTCTGTGCTGGCTCCTGGAGAATGGGGCTTCTATAGACCTTAAAGCCCTGATCTACCTTCCCAGGCAGCAAAGCCTAGTCTGTGAAGGATTAGCAGAGCAGACCACGGGCTATCGCATTTCCAGTGCTCTCGGAGAACCAGAACCCACAAATGACTTCTCCATTTAAACTCTCTTCTTTTAAGCCTGATCTCAAAGAGTGCCCCTTCATTTCAGTGTTGTGGAAAGATGCTCTTTGTTTCTGGAAACATGAGAGATACCATAGGAAACATTTCTGAATGCGGAACCATTATTTTTGGCTGGCTGGAACTGTGATTGCAGCTCTACATTAATTCTGAAGGCCGGGGAGCCTTGGGAGGGGGGGCTCTGGCTGGAGAAACAGGTCACCGAGGGTGGGGCTCAGAAAGTTGCCTCCTTCTCTAGTCTCAGCAAGCCCTCTGCCTCCCGTGCGAGCAGCTATTGATGTGAGAGTCTCTTGGCATGAGCGTTGCCATCATGCTTCCCAGTGGCAGACTGGAATCATTGGCCAAAATAAAGCTAGCCTCCCTTCAGGTTTCTGTCAGCTGCCTGCAGCAGCTGCGAGAAAAGCAGCTTACACAGCCTCTGCCCGTTTCCAGAGTTATCACAGCACCCACCATGTTCCCCGCTGGGGAGTTCAGAGAATAACGTAGGTAACTCAAATAAGTCATTACAGAGTTTGAGTATGATTTTAGATTTATACCTTTCAGGCAAGAAATGTCGTGAAATGCCCATAGGCTGGCGGTTCACTGCTGTAATTGATCAACTAGTCAGAAACTTATTGTAAGCACATAGGTCATAGCAGCCTTTCAGGACACGTTTGATGAATGAGTTACACAGTGCACAGCTCAGAAGAATGAGTGACTTCTTCTGATTTCTATGTGCAAGCTCCTTCACTTATGGTGTGCAATGTCCTAATAACCCACTGTAAGCTGGAGATACTGATCCGCACGTGCAGGTAACATGCATAACCCTCTGAACATCTTAGCTTAGTCTGCATCCTCAGAACACTTACTACAGTCCATGGCTGGGGAATCATCTAATACAGAGGCCGTTCTATAAACGAAGCATTGAGTACTTCATGCAATTTATTGGATTTTACACTGAAAACAAAACCCCAAGGGTTGTGTAAATATAAAGCAGAAAAAATTCAAGTGTAAGTCAGGACTGTGTAGAAATTTTGAATTTTAAAGCCACAAACATCCTAATAAATGTTATATTCATTAAGACAAAGACAAATTCTCCAATTGAATAATACATATTAAATTGCTTAGAAATTAGTATTTAATTTTAGGCAATTCAGTTTTTGAGACCTGATATGTGAACTCAATTAATTTAGAAAGCTGATTTTTTTTTCTGCAGCGAAGAAAAGCTAAATAAAAGTGATGCCCTTGGTTGCTTGTGGATGTTCCATTGGATGCACTGGGGGATGCTGTGTCAGGTGTGCTGGTATGAACCTGGACCCTGCACACTGGTTTTCTTTTTAATAGTGTGTGTGTGTGTGTGTCTTTGTATGCGCATGTGAGACCATGTGTGTGGAGGTCAGAGGGCAACCTTAGGTGTCAGTCAGTCTTCATCCATCTTGCATGAGGTAAGAGCTCTGGTTTGCTGCTGCGGTTGCCAGGCTCCTGGGCCACGAGCGTCTAGGGATTCCTGTCTCTCTCTACTGTCTTCCCAGAGGCATGTTCTGATTACATGTGTGTACTTCATGTTCTGATTACATGTGTATGCTGCATGTTCTGATTACATGTGTGTACTTCATGTTCTGATTTCATGTGTATACTGCGTGTTCTGATTACATGTGTGTACTGCATGTTCTGATTACATGTGTGTACTTCATGTTCTGATTACATGTGTGTACTTCATGTTCTGATTACATGTGTATACTGCATGTTCTGATTACATGTGTGTACTTCATGTTCTGATTTCATGTGTATACTGCGTGTTCTGATTACATGTGTATACTGCGTGTTCTGATTACATGTGTATATTGCGTGTTCTGATTACATGTGTGTACTGCATGTTCTGATTTCATGTGTATACTGCATGTTCTGATTACACTTGCTCGGCAACCCCCTGAGCTATCTTCCTAGTCTCCAGGCTGATTTAAATCCCAGTCCCAGACATGTATCACTATATGGTTGGGAACATGACCCAGTCCTTGCAGTTCCTCATCTGCCGTAGTGAGATCACACCGCTTCTTACTTGCATGTTTGTTGTGGGGGTTGAACTATGAGCCCAAGTGCGTAGTAGGTGCTTAGTAGATGCTAGTAATTTCTGTTAGAACAACAAGAGAAGGAAAGGGCTATCAAAAGCCCTTTGACCAGTACAGAAACTCCTTAACACAGCGCTCCACTGTACCGCTGTGCAGGCTGTTCCTTGCAAACTTCCGGGTGCTGCTTCCACTGCAGATCCCGTGAGTGCACCTACTGAAGTTGTGCAATGCACAGCCTGGCCAGCGGCACTGCATTAAGAAAAAGTGTGCATTAAGCAGATTCAATTATTCGTCATGTAATTATGGACGACCAACCCATCATCTGTGTAATTTTCTCATGAGGCATTTCCCCAAACAAGCCCTCACCTTAGGCTATCAGATTGACTTTTTACTGGAAAGGAAGCACCAAGAGCTAAGAGATTTACGAGAAACCTCTGGGACACAGAGTGTTCTAGTTAGGGTTGAGAACCGGCTTCTGGTATTAAGCAAGCGGGAAGGCTAATTGGTAGAAATAATTGGGTCTATCCCAGCTGCTGCCCAAGCCAGGCAGTGTTAGGCAGGAGTCCTGGCAAGGTTCCTCTGCCTTTAGAATTTGAATTTCGAAGAGATTCAGTGGGACTCACCTTCATATGTATTTATCAGCGGAGGAAACAACCGTCTCACTAATCAAGACAGAAAGAGACATTTCTGAGACTTCCATTGACTGAAGTGGGATGTTTGAATTAAAACTGTTTTTATAAACTTTGATGGGGCAGAGAAAGATGGCTGGAAGGGATCTTGCTAGTTTTAGGGGATATTCTGCTCATGACCTGACTTTTTAATGGCTGTCACTCTTTCCCTTTACCACAGCAGCTTAAAAAGCCGTGTTAGGGTTGGGTGGTGGTGGCGCAAGCCTTCTCTAATCCCACACTTGGGAGGCAGAGGCAGGAGGCCAGCCTGGTCTACAAGAGTTAGTTCCAGGCCAGGCTCTAAAACTACAGCGAAGCTCTGTCTTGATAATCCTCCCCCCCCCCAAAAAAAAAACCCCCAAAAAACCAAACAAAACAGAGCTGTGTTAAACCTTTGGGTTTGGCATTGTCACGTGAGATTGACAAGCTCATTCTTCAGGTAAGGAGGGTTATGGCACAGGATGTGTGCTAGAGTTTGTTAACTATGTGGCGGGGAATGATGGGTTTCTCTGTAAATAATCTTTATTTTCAGAAGTGAAATCTCTGAAGGGGAGCATCTTCCCTGAAATGTTTTTGTGATTTTGTGTTATGTGAAATAAATCGATACATATAAATAACTGGTAATCTGACACCTTAAAAGGGATATTCAGGTTCACTTTATACCTATGTATTCCAAAAAAATAATCTTAAAGCCCAGAATAATGGAGATTTTTGAGAAAAAATTCTCTACATTAGAAAGCATGTCATTTTCCAACAGTCACGGTATATTTATGATTGGCTTTTTTCCTGTAACTTTCAAAACATTCGTTTCAGAAATGTTTTTTAAATTTTTTATTTGAGTATTCGTATGTATAGGTGAACAGTGTGTGTATGTGTGTGTGTGTGTGTGTGTGTGTGTGTGTTATGTATTTACATGTGCCTGGAGGTCAGAGGGCACTGGATGTGTTCACTATCGCTCTTTATTTCCTTGAGACAGGGTCTGTCACTGAACATGGAACTAGGTTAATGGGCAGCAAGACCCAGCAGTCCTCCTTCATTTCCCATAGTGGGAAGCTTCAGGCATACGGCTTTGCCTGGTTTTACATGGGTCTTGAGGATTCAAACGTGCATCTTCATGTTTGTTCGACAAGCTCTGTTAACCTACTGGGACATCTCCCCAGTCCCACACATTGTAATATGCTCTAACTGAAGAAACATATTCGTCCTTCCTTGACATATTAAAATGGATGTCAGTGGTTACTTAAAGCATTAAAACACAATACTGATGTCATCAAGAATCACCCCTAGAATGGAAACACCACAAGTGGATGGTATCAGAGTTTTTCAAATGCTTCTGTTTCTCCAAGCACTTGGGTGAACATGATGACACTCCCTTCTCACTGTGGGCATAATAGAGAGGCAGGGGGAGGACTAAGGTCTCTCTACTGTTATTACTTTCTGTTGCTTGGTTTTTTTTGTTTTTTTGTTTTTTTGTTTTTTATTTTTTTTGAGACAGGGTCTCTCTACAGAGCCCTGACTATTCTGGAACTTACTACGTAGACCAGACTGGCCTTGAACTCACAGATGATCTGCCTCTCAAGTGATGGGGTTAAAGGTAAGTGCTACCATATCCAGTCTAAGATGATTCTTTGTTGACAATGGAGAACACGAGACCTGGAGTGAGTCACTGGAACAGCTGCACAGTCAAGCTTAGGTCTTGCTGTTACATCTCACGTTACAGCGCTGTCAATGACCTTGTGTGGTGTGTGCGATGGGAAAGGGACCTAGAAACCTCCAGACATGTCTTTCAACTTTCAGACACCACCCTTCAACAACAAATGATGCCCGTGCTCTGAGAACATTGCCTTTTACCCGTAACCACATTATGTCAAAACTCTGGGTGGCTCCGCGTTCTAAAAGGATTCCATTTGCCTTCACAGAATGAACCTTTCAATGTCACACTCCTCTACTTTTATAAATTGTGCCCCGATCCCCTAACAGACAGTTTCAGTCCAGTCAAACCGGTAGCTCCACAGCCCCCGGCAGAGGCCACAATTGCCCTGTCTTTGCTTGTATCAGTCTGACAGTAGTTCCGTCCATCCCCACATATGGAATCTCAACTCCCACTCAATCCACAGAGTCTTATCTGCCTACACCATCCTCTGCAAGTAGAATTAGGACACAGCTTTGCTTAATGTGAAGCACAAATACCACCTACATGAACAGTTTAAATTTTCTTATACTTTTATCAAAAGGCTTGTTAAAAAGTTAATTAGTGGTATATTTAATTTGATCTACTGAAAAAGACTATAATTTCAGTATGTAACAAAATAAAAACTAGTAATATCTTTTATACTCTTTTGTTATGTTGTATGGTTTACATTTAACAGCATATCTCGTCTCAGAACAATTATGTCCCAAGTGAAAAATGTCCATGTATGGATAGTGGCTATGATATTGCACAGCTTACATTTAGACCTTTCATTTTTCCCCCTCTCTGTTTCTGTCTCTCTTCGTCTCTGTCTCTCTTCCCCTTTACCCTTCCTTTCCCTCCCTCTCCCTTCCTCCCTATCTTTCCTCTCTTTCTCTACCCCTACATGGGCAAAACTTTATTGTGTGTTGGAAAACATCTTATATGTTCTAACTTCCTCATCACCAGCATCATAAGAGAACTGAAGGTTGATTCCAAGTTAAAAGAGGCCTTGTTCAGTCATTGGTTCAGTTTTTAAAAGCGGTGCGATGTCTACTTTCTGTCTGAGCACTGCCACATGAGGGAGAGCTGAGTTTTCTTCCACACGAGGCGTCTGTTATAATGGCAGACAACTTTACATTTCAGGCAGTCCTTGAGATCTGTCTCCCTGTAACTTTTAAAAGGCACTGCTCTCTGTGTTTTGAAGCGAGGCAATGGTAAGAATGGCTCCTGAGGCCGAGTTTGTCATCTACAACGTGGTGATAAACTTTGGTGTTTTCCTTGTATTTATTTATATTCAAGTTTTTGGTGAACTTCCCGTATGAGATAAGTCATACTTTTGCCTCACTAATACAATGATTAAAGCATAAACTAGCTTATAGAATCTGAGCTAATTCTTTCCTTCTTGATTCTTTTCGTCTATCAGAAAACATGTAACATTCCCCCAGCCAACAAAAGAGCTACATGAACATGTAAAGCTCATGTCACCCCTCCCCAAGGCTCGATATAGTTTGTACATAATGGCTAAATGTAAAACCGGTTTTCTTAATAATCCTCCCAACTTGTCTAGAATCAAAATTACTTTGATTTTAGTTCAACGGTTGATGAGTATTCTAAAAACAAGTCGGGCGTCAAGATCAGGCATGCAGAGCTCTCAGCCATACCGTACCAGGAGATGTGTAATCCTGGAGAACAGAAGTGCCTGTGTTGTGCGTGTTCTCATCTGGGTGTTGGAAAATAATGTGCTGCTTTGAAGAAAACGAAGGTTGTGGGAAGCAAAACTTGGGATTGGGATGAGTTAATCTGATCACTGAAGAAATGTGAAATAACTATATTAAATAAACTTTTTTCCCTGATTTATACTTCTTATCAAAATTGAACACTAAGAAAATCAAAAAAGGAAGGAATGTAAAAATTTCAGTTTAACGCTTTGTTCTGCTGTGTCCTCTTTAGAATGTACATCAGGGATTCAACAAACAAAGCCAATTTTCTGATCTATGCAAGGAAGCAGAGAGAGTTTTCTAGTGTTAGAAAAAGAAGGGACTTACCATCAAGAGGACCAGAGGCCCCAGGGCTCTGGGGAAAAGGCAGGTCATTGTCGCTGGTGTCCCCGGTGAACAAATCCAAGCCTCTTGCTGCTGCTCCTCACCCGAGTGTCTGTATCCAAGGTCTGAAACTCCCTTCTGGCAGTGGTGGCTCTCTTGTCTGCCCTAGGACTCTCCTGGTGGCCTGCTAGTCTGTTCCTCCCCACCCCAAGCCAAGGATTGGTCTCAGCTGAAACGCTTGCATCACTGCCTCCCAGGTAAAAGCTGAGACACACCTCAGTTCCTACAGCAATGGAATCCTTTGTTGGAAGTGAAATGAGATGTTCACAGGCTAAAGACAAGAGTCGACTAGGAAGGTACCAGATGAATAACACATTAATCACGGCATGAAAGTACAAGAGCTGGCTCTGCCACACTTAAAAAAAAAGATCTAGTTGGCTTCTGATGGTCATAGCTAAAAACTAGAAAGCAGAAGAGGAAACATAAAATCCCCAAACCTGCTTGTGGAAAAGTACTTGTTTTAAGGCTGTGTGTGGGTAAGGGGTGCATCTTAATTAATAATGTATGTTATTGAAAGGTCTACAAGTAACAAAGAAAGGAGCCACATCTAGCCACAATGAATACAGAGTTTGAATAAAATCAATTAGCAATAACTAGAAACAAGCAGCTCCATGGGTGCGCTGGGGTTTGAGGTATATGACTAATGCATTGCAGAATCTGCTTGTGTTGGCGCTGAAGCGACATCCTATTGTGCCTTTGTTCACTCATAACTTAGGGAAAGTAGATTGACTATCAGATAGGTTATCACAGTGCTCATTTAATTACTCTTTTAATTTCCCGAGGCAGTCACCATGACTGTCACATCGTAAGAGGCACCTGAATACCTGGACTGTACCCCAGGTTAGGGGAGGGAGCTAGAATAGGCTCTTCGCTGGTGTCACAATATCTGAAGAAGGACTCGAGGAAGAACAATTTTATCTTTGAAATATTTATACATCATTTTAGAAGCATTTTGTTCTAGGTAGCTCATTTAATCATAAAGCATTTGGCATAAAAGATTATGTAGGCCAGGAGTTAAAAAAGATTCTGGTAGGAAACATTTTAATTTCTTTTAAATTGTGGTGAAATATTCAGGAATGTTACTAATAAAAATTTTAAAAATTGCACTTATAGTGTGTGTGTGTGGCCACAAGACAAGTTACAAGAGTCACTTCTCTCCTTGTTCCATGTCTCTGGTGGCAGAACTCAGGTCATTAGCCTTGGCCATGATGTCCCCATGTCTGAGCCATCTTTCTAGCCTTCCTGTTCAGGTACTTCAGGGTACAGCTCAGTGTTATTAAACACATTCATAGAGTTGTGTAACTGTGATCATTATTACCACCTATCTCCAAAAGAAAACTGTTGTTTTTGACATAAAAATTTTTGTGAATTTAAGGTCAATAGACATAGGCATTCCCACTTGTTTTGTTGTGAATGGCCGTCTTGGTGCAGCATGGGATAGCTGAGTAGGGCTATGCAATTATACAGGAGCCTGAATGACTGCTGGGACAAATATATTAACTGTATGTCTTGTTCATTTGCTGATTTCTAGGTGACACTATAAATGTGTGTGTGTTTGTGAGTATGTGTGTGTGTGTATCTGTGTGTATGTGAAGTAGGGCAGAGGACACCTTGGGTGTCATTCCTAAGGTGCCATCTGCCTTTGACTTACTTATTTACTTTATTTATTTTGGATAGGCTCTCATTATGTATCTCTTGCCTGGACTGGCACTTACTATGTAGACCAAACAGGTCTTGAACTCATAGAGATTCATTTGCCTTTGACTCTGGAGTGTTGGAATCAAAGGTATGTGTCACCATACCTGGCCTTCCTTTTACTTTTTTTTTTTTTTTTGAGACAAGTTCTCTCCCTGGCTTGGAACTTATCGAGTAGGCCAGGCTGGATGGCCAATGGGCCCCAGGAATCTGTCTGTGTCTGCTTTCCTAGCTCCAACACTGCAAACACGCTACCACGTCTGGATTTGGGATTCTGGGGATTGAACTCAGGCTCTTGTGCTCATGAGGCAACCACTTTACCAACTGAGCCATCTCTCTAGCCCATCATCTATTTCAACAGTATTTGTGACAAATATGTTGGGCATTTGAGTCTGTAACAGAAAAATAATCAGTGAATCTTTTAAAGTCTTCTTCTATCCAAGAGGTCAAGCTTGACATTCCTCTTAGAGTTCCCTCCATATGATCCCAGCAAACACATTTTATGCACTTTTGGACCAGCATTAGAAAGTGAGTGACCACTCAGCTCTCGTCAACACTGAAGGATAGAGGCACAGGACAAAGTCTGGACACAAAGATGGTTGTTCTGTGTCTCAGTCCTTGGGAGGACTGACTTGGGAGCACACGTGAATGGCTAGAAGCTGAGCAGAGATTGATCGCATTTTCCAGTGTTTTGTGCAGTGCTGATATAAGTGATCAAATGTTAGGGGCTCTCTGAATTTAGTGTTTGAACTTAGTTAAGGTTGTAGATAACCTTGGGGTTTCTGCCTCTACATTGTTCACACAAGGAGAAATGCAGAAGAACAACAAAACAGTAGTAAGAATCATCGCAAACCCCAAGCTTAGTTTGAAGAGTCTGAGTGTATTTTACCGATTTTGATCATATGCTGACTTATTTGTGATTTTGTTTTTGTGGTGAGAACCTTTGCCACCCTTTGTTTGGTTTTGTATGAGACAGGATCTCACTAAGTAGTAGCTCAGACTGGCCTTGAACTCAAGGTCTCCCTGCCTCAGCCTCCTGTGTGCTGAGACTGTGGTTGGGCACCACCACATCCAGCTAGAGACTGGATTAATTTTCAATTAAAAAGGTAAGTTTCTTAAAAAGTAATGTGAAGAAAGCAAGGCTTTATGAGTAATATTCCAAACTTATTGGTAGGGAAGGAAAGACAAATCAAGTATGGTAGTTTTCTCCCATAATTTAATATCTTGCAATTCTTTAGATTTTTCTTGAGCTAATTACAAATGGATCAACAGGCAGATGGGGTTCTCTGTGTTTTTTTTCTCTGTGCCTTTAACAGTTCCTTTATATTTTATTTTACTATTCTGGGTTACATAAGACAAATTTCACGCAAGTGTATAATATACTTGGGGCATGTGCCGCCAAGCCCTGCCATCTTTCTGTTTTCTCTATAACTCCCCCAGACAGTTTGACTTCTATGTAATGCCATCTGTGCTTATAGGATTTTATGCATCGCTATTAAATATAGGACCCACAGACGAGAGAAAACATCTGATCTTTGTCTTTCTGAGATTGATGTAATTGCCTTAATATGATTATCTCTAGATGAATCGATGTTTTGGCAAATGACATACCTTCATCTTTCTTCACGATTGGAACATTCCAGTGTGTATATAGACTGTATTTCCCTTATCTATTCTTCTGTTGATAGGCACAGGTTAGTTCCATGACTAAGTTACTGTGAAGTGCTTCAGTAAACATGGAAGAAATGCAAGAATTGATGTGACATCTTGACTTGGAATCTTTAGGGTTAATACTCAGAGAGGTATAGCTTGGTTTTATGAAGATCTATTGTTAGTCTTTTGAGGCTCCTCTACTGACTTTCATAGTAGCTGTAAGAAGTCATACATCCTGTTGATTGAAAGATGGGTCCCTTAGCAAGGTAAGGAAGCAGCCTGGTGTAGCCCTGTTTATGTGGCTGTAAAAGTGGTCTGGATGGTGATTTTAGGTAGTGTTTCTTATACTTAGTAAGACTTTCTCTTTCTATTTAATTGTGTTTGGAGTTAAAGACGTTATGAACTGGTGTGTGGTGCTGGGAATTTGAACTCTGGAAGAATATACACTGCTCTTAACCATTCACTGTTTTCCAGTGCTTTCTGTTTGAGCAATGGTGTTACTACTTTTGGGATAATTGCTTGGAACCCCAGCCTAGCTTGAACTGGCTCTGGATCAAGAGACTGAAATCAAAATGAGAATCATAACAATAAAAATTAAAGGGGAACTTCATTGTATGTGTTGGCTGTGTCCCAACTAATGTACCATGTGAAGACAGGAGAGGTTGAAAGTGGATCCAACATAAGCTGAAGAATTCATCTTCTCTTTGCTGGAAATTGAGCCTCAGAAGCCAAGCAATAAAAGTGAGCATTTATTCAAATGGGCAGAGTCTCGAAAAGTTTCCATGCTGCTTCTGAAGCTTGTTATCTATAGTAGCTCCCTTATCCATCAAGTACAGACACTAATTAGACTTCAGCTTCCCTGGCAAGCCTTTGCTGGCATTCATTGCTTCCACTGGAAACATGTATGTAGCTCTATGCCACGTTTACTACTTTTTTGATGTTTAATTGTGCTTGAGTGTTCACAAACTCATGAACTGGGATTAGTGCTACCAGTCAAAAATGTACCTGTATTTTGATATGACTTGCAAAAGCATGGGTCTGTCTTCTTTTGTTATTCAAGGTACTGGGAACTGTATACCTCTTCCATTCTGATCATCCAGGGGAGACATCCAGACATGCCAGGAAGTCTGACTGTGCTGCAGAGAACAGCGTGCATTTAATTAGTGGAAACCCAGCTGTTGTCCCAACAACGCTTCACATGCTTCTGTGGTACTTAGGAATATTTTGATAGATTATGTATTCTTCTTCTTCTTCTTCTTCTTCTTCTTCTTCTTCTTCTTCTTCTTCTTCTTCTTCTTCTTCTTCTTCTTCTTCTTCTTCTTCTTCTTCTTCTTCTTCTTCTTCTTCTTCTTCTTCTTCTTCTTCTTCTTCTTCTTCTTCTTCTTCTCTCCTCCTCCCCCTCCTCCTCCCCCTCCTCCTCCCCCTCCCCCTCCTCCTCCTTCTCTCTTTTCATGTATATGCTTGTGGTATCAAGGATTAAACCCAGGATTTTGCACATGCCAACTGAGCACCCTGCTGTTGAGCTACATCCAGACTTACATGCTAACTCTATCCCAGACTTCAGACTTCATTAAAAAAAATTAATGTATGTTCTTTTAGTCTGATTTAGTAATTACTTACTTGTGGGGATGTTTTGTAAGATA